TATCAGTCCTGGGTTCGCAGTGTTAAGTGATTTGTCTTGCTGTAAGTTTATTTTGTCAATGAAATAGAAGAATACTTTTCAACATTTTAGAGACAAACTTGGAGAACTAGTCAAGTACAATGTCTTTTGTTTTGGACTTATTTTCTATTAAAGAGACAAAAGTTATTATAAAGGTTCATATGGCACCCAATCTTTCTAACTATCTTTTCAATCCTTAGAGCTTATCAAATACAAGAAAGTGTCCACTACATTATTGAGCTTTAATGACTAGCAAGTAACTGTAGAAAGTTATCACCACCATATTGTTTTTGAGCTGTGATCTTCATGTGTAATCTGGCTTGGGACTGGACGTCTGTCCCAGACTTTGAGCATTCAGCTGCTGCTGCAGCTCTGCACCACCTAGCAATCACCAGTTACGAAATGGATCAAGTCTCTCTTCACCTAGAATTTCTGTGTCATACGCTTAACTAGGTCTGGTCTTCCTACCCCCTCAAATATTTCAGTTCAGTTTTCTCTTTCTACACTAAAAACTTATCAAGGCAACATCTCTATTATAGTTTAGATATCTGCTAAACACTTGCCCAGGTAAAGATACATAATTTCATACATCAGTAGAAGGAAAAGAAAGTCATTTTCCAGAGAGGGCCTGAAGATGAGATGAAGCAAATGTCAGACAATTAGCAGTAAATACTCTGGTCCCCTGGGGCTGTGGCCTGGTGTGTGAGAGAACTTGCTGAACAAGCGCGAGGATCCACCCCAGGACTTGTGTGAGAAGCTAGGATGTGGTAGCTCATTGGCCAGCCAGCCCCCTAACTGAAAAACTAAGCTCCAGATTTAGTGAGAGACCGTAAGAGGACAAGGGCAGAGTGCCCGTGCCCAGGTAAGCTTCTGCAGACACAGCACACAAAATGCCCTGTGGAAGGCGCACATGCTAGAGGACATGTGTACCAGAGTGCTGCTGTCTGTTTCCTCTAGCCCCATGTTGGATGGCCAAAATGGTATTGTTTGGTTTTTAGTCTTTTGACTTTTTGGTCTTTTGGGGGCCCGCCACCCAGCACCCAAATAAACCACACATGGAGACTTATTCTTTCTTATTGCCTGGTCTTAGCTTGGCTTGTTTCTTGCCAGCTTTTCTTAAGTTAAATTATCCTGAATACCTTTGCTCTGGGCTTTTTTCTTTTTTTACTTCCTTGTATCTTACTTACACTCTTACTCTGTAGGTGGCTGAGTGACTGGCCCCTCACATCTTTCATTATTCTCATGCTTCTCCTCATTTCTCCTTCTATTTATTCTGTCTGCCAGCCCCACCTATCCTGGCTCCTGCCTTGCTATTGGCCGTTCAGCTCTTTATTGGGACCATCGGGTGTTTTAGACAGGCAAAGAATCACAGCTTCACAGAGTTAAACAATACAACATAAACAAAGGCAACACAACTTAAAATAATATTCCCCAGCAAAGGAGCCTGTGTTCTAGTACTGATAGTTCCTCCTTACTAGCCCTGAGACCAAAGCTAGTTCCCACACCTCCTTTGCTACCTCATATAAATAAGAAGGCTCTAGAACTTGTAAAATTCCATTTCTTCTGTGTCTATGGTTTTTAGATTTGAACCTTTACCACCCTCTTTTTCTGCTTTCACTAAATCACCCCCACTGTTTCCTGCCTCTGTTTCCCAGGCAGGATTCTAAGTTGGGTAGCTAGGTTTCCCTCACACACTTAGGAACAGAAGCTGCCCTTTCAGGACTGATCTTGTTCTGCCTGACTCCCATGCTGGCCCTACCACTATCTCTTCACCCTGTCAGTGAGCTTAGAGTGAATGGCTTTACATTTCGCACTCTCTACCTGGCTGGTCTACAGTTAGTAACCAAGGCTTTCTGAACAGCTGCAGTGTAGAGTCACCACGATTCCGGTTTCCCTTTATCTTCCGTGAGGAACTTCTAACTTACGTTTCTTCCAGTGTCGTCACTTTCTTTTCTTTATATTCTCTTTTGACAGTCTTACTATATCCCTGGCTGGCCTGAATATATATTAGCTGTGTATTTCAAGGTGGTCTCCAACTCAACAGCAGTTTTGTCTCAGCTTCCCTAGTACTCAGTTTAAAGGGATAGGTCACCAGGCTTGGCTTTTCCTGGCTTTGTTGTTGTTGTTTTGTTTTGTTAAAGACATAGTGTCTTAATTACTGTTCTATTGCTATGAAGAGACACCATGACCAAGGCAATTCTTATAAAAGAAAGCATTTAATTGGGATTGCTGATAGTTTTTGAGGGTTAGTTCATGATCATCATGGTGGGAAGCAGGCAGGCATGGCACTGGAGAGGCAGTAACTGGGAACTTTACACGCTGATCTGCAGGCAGTAAGTAGACACTGGGCCTGATGTGGGCTTTTGACAATGACACATCCAACCCTTCCCAAACAGTTCCACAGTGGGACCTAAAGGATTTGAACCTGAGGGGGTGCAGACAGCTGATCTGGAGGTAGCTGTCCTTGTAGAATCCAGCTGTTGTTTGTCAGCTGAGCTCTGGGCCTGCTTGTCCATCCATTCCTGGTCGTAGTCTTTTGTATTCTCTTTGTGTTTCCTACGACTGCAGCGTGTCTTTCCCACAGGTGGCGAATCATGCATACGATACGTATCACAGTAGTCACAGTACAATTTAGGCAGTTCTGTAGACTGAAGAGTAAAACAAACAAAACCATAAAGCATGCACGTGAGTGGTATGCTTCCATTAATGTTAAAGAAATCTTGTAAGGAAAATTTGGAAACTAAAGGAAGTGTTAGTGATAGCTTCATGGTATTTGGGATGAGAAGTCAAAAATTATTTTTCCACTAAAACTAACCAAACAACAAAATAAATATTAACCTATGTGGTTGTTTTGTTTGCTTGTTTGTTGACAGGGTTTCTCTGTGTTGCTTTGCAGCCTGGCCTGGAACTAGCTCTTGTAGACCAGACTGGCCTTGAACTCACAGAGATCCACCTGCCTCTGCCTCCCAGGTGCTGGAGTAAAGGCATGCGCTGCTACCACTACTCGGTTTATTAACCTGCTTTGTATAATCTCTTCAGGAGAAGGACACAAGGCTTTGAGAACTTAAGAAAATTTGTTTGTGTCTTTAGTACTATTTATTGTTTTCTTTATATGTGAGAAAAGCATTAAAGTTTGTAAAAAACATCAAATGTAAATAAACTCATCTTTCTTTTCATTTTTTTCTCTTTTTTTTTCTTTTGAGACTGTTTTTGTTTTTTGTTTTTTTTTTTTTTTTTTTTTTTTTTTTTTTTTTTTTTTTTGTTTTCTTTTATTTTTTTTTGTTTTTTTTTTTTTTTTTTCTTTTTTTCTTTTTTNTTTTTTTGTGTAACAGCCTTGGCTACCCTGGAACTCACTCTGTAAACCAGGCTGGCCTCAAACTCAGAGAGACCCGCCCGCCTCTGACTCCTGAGTGGTTAAAGGCTTGAACCACCACCATCTGGCCAAACTCAAGGCTTTTACAGGAACAAAGAGGGAGAGTTTAAACTGTCTCCAAGATGTGTGGAGTTGGAGTGAAGCAATCCAGATGCTAAGATCTTTGTGTGTATACCTTGGCGTATAAGACATTTTCCTCTGGGAGTGCCCTCAGACATAGAAAGCTGGACTTGCTCAGTACTGTAGTCTTAAAAACCATGTGGCTCCTTTATCTCAGGATCTGATGCTCAGGTGTCACGCTGGATTGTTCCAGGGCTGAGTGATTCAGATGTCAGGACAGTTCTTTACCACATCTCTTGCTAGTAAGTTTTGGAAATTGAGAGGGTCTGAGTGGAAGAAACACTTAGATTAGAAGACAGTGTGTTATTCTTAGATACTGTGAGTGCAATAGTCTTTCACAAGGAATTATCCTATCCTGGAAATACGAACAATGTACAACATTTTCCTGCTCCAGTATGTCTGTACGTGCCTACCCAGCAGTAACACACTTCCTCCAACAAGGCCATACCTATGCCGCAAGGTCACACCTCCAGTAATGTCACTCCCTAAGGGTCTATGGGGACCATTTTCATTCAGACCACCACAGTTTATGTAACTTACATGTTCTGGGTGGTTTTGTGTGTCAACTTGAGACAAGCTAGAGACATCGGAGGAAGTGAGATCCAGCTGTAAAGCATTTTCTCATTTAGTGATCAACGAGGGAGGCCCAGCCCATGGTAGGCGGTGCCATCCCTGGGCCGGTGGTCCTGGGTTCTATAAGAAAGCAGGCTGAGCAAGCCATGGGAAGTCAGTCCATAAGCAGCTCCCCCCATCATGGCCTCTGCATCAGCTCCTGTCTCTGGGATCCTGCCCTGTTTGAGTTCCTGTCCTGACTTTCAGTGATGAACAGCAATGCTTAAATGTAATGAAGCCAAATACATAAACCTTTTCCTTCCCCAATGTGTTTTTGATCCTGGAGTTTTGTCGCAGCAACAGAAACCCTAAGACAAATTGTCACCAGCATAGTGAGATATTGCTGTGACAGACCTGACCATGATTTGGGAAGGATTGTGAAAGGACTTTGGAACTCAGGGCTAGAAGAGCTATTGAGCGTTAAAAGCTCTGTGGGACACTGCGGGAACTTGGAAGATAAGAATGTTAAAAACCAGTGCAGGAAATGGAGGCCTGGCTTGTGAAGTTTCAGAGGGAAGTTTAAAGACTAAGGGGAGCCGGGCGGTGGCGGTGCACGCCTTTAATCCCAGCACTCGGGAGGCAGAGACAGGCAGATCTCTGAGTTCGAGGCCAGCCTGGTCTACAAGAGCTAGTTCCAGGACAGGAACCAAAAGCTACGGAGAAACCCTGTCTCGAAAATTCAAAAAAAAAAAAAAAAAAAAAACCCACGCCAAAAAAAAAAAAAAAAAAAAAAAAAAAAAAAAAAAAAAAAGCTAAAGACTAAGGGGACATTTGTTACTTTGAATTAAAATCCTGTGGTTCTGGTTAGCTGGGGCTGAAAAATCAGCTCTGATGGACAAGATACCAGAGCTAGTAAATCGAAGCCTTGCTTTTCTAGGATGCTTGATGCTGGTCGGCTAGAGCTAAGAAAAAGCAACGATTCAGAAGAGGCCAGCATCACTGAGGTGAAATCTTCTAGTAGATGTTTCCTGAGAGCACAGAGAGGCTGTGTTCTAGAAGTGGTCAAGGTTGTACTTCGTGCTGGCGGCCAGATTTGATTGATAACGTGTTAGAGTCACCCAGGTGGTTCTGGTTTTGAAGGCGTGAAGGGATCACGGAGAGCAGCTGAGGCTTGGCGCTGTGAGGCCAGGAGAGGTTATTTGTGAAGGTACAGCCCCTTTTCTTTCTTTCTTTCTTTCTTTCTTTCTTTCTTTCTTTCTTTCTTTCTTTCTTTCTTCCTTTCTTCCTTTCTTTCTTTTTCTTTTCTTTCTTTTTTTTTTTTTTTTTAAAAAAAAAAAACAGGTTTCTCTGTGTAACAGTTCTGGTTGTCCTGGAACTCATTTTATAGACCTGGCCTCAAACTCAGAGATCTGCCCGCCTCTGCCTCCCAAGTGCTGGGTTTAAAGCTGTGAGTGACCATTGCCTGGACTTTTCTTCACTACACAATTGTAGGCACATTATAATCCTTTTCAATAAAATGTGCAAACACATTATTGCATTTATACTGGAAAAACAACTTTATTTTTAAGTTGGGTCTTCCTGGGTAGCTCAGGCTTGACCTCTTAACTAGTGTTCTCCTGGCCTCAACCTCCAGAGTGCTGGAATCATAAGAGCTCAGAAAATTCCTTTTGAAATCTAATCTACAGGGAAACACTCTTCAGATATTTATATGTTTGAGAATGTGGGACAACTATGTAGCCTTTAGCGACAGATATCAGAACAAAAAGCTCATCCAGATACAATGTCTCATAACTATAATTCCCACAGTTGGAATATAGGCAGTGAATCAGGGTTAAAGGTCATCATCAGCTACATATCCAGTTTGAGAATAGACTGAGCTACATGAGGTGTAGTTTGATTTTGTTTTGCTGTTCTTTTAAATGGTGCAGAGAGACAGGTGCAGTGGCTCCAAGAGTTAGGACTCGCTGTGCAGCATGAGGACCAGTCCTCAGAACCTGCTGCAAGGGACGGACTCAACCCTGGAGGGTGCCCTTCGCTTTCATGCGCACTCACCCACAGAATAATCATTTTTAATGCTAAACATGGACTCTACAAGGAACCAAAACAAGACATGGCAAACCTGGGATCCAGGCGAAAGCCGACACTAAGAATGAACCAGAGTGGAACCACAGAAAACGGAAATCAGCAAGTGAGGGTAAAATGGTGGGAGATAGGGACATTAAACATTTTTATAAGGTGAACCAGAGGAACAAATAAGAAAACATTACGTTACTAATAACTAGGATGGTAGAAATATACGTTTACTAGCCCGGTGAACTTAGGTTGAGAGGGGTACAGGGAGGCTGCCTTTGTCCCAGTGACCTCCCAGCTTGGCAGTTGTTGCTATGGGAATTACCTTTTAAAACCCAGTTTTGTAAGCTGTAAGTTGAAAGTGATTCTGTTGGGCTGTGGCAATGGCTTGGTAGATAAAGTACTTGCTGTGCAAGCATGAAAACCTGAGTTCAGATCCTGCCAGTCCATGTAATTGCTGGGTGTGGTGGTGTGTACCTGTAACTACAGTGCCCAGACAACAATCTCGGGGCTTGCTGGCCACACACAGGCACACTCACACACACCCTGTAATTTTGCCACTTTAAAGGGCTATTATAGAGGACACTGTGAAGCAGTGTGAAAATAGCACAGTGACATACAACTGTGATTCCTAAAATTTTGGGAGGTAGAAGCATGAGGATCAGGAGTTCAAGACCATTCTCAACTGTAGAGCAAGTTAGAGGCCAGCTTGGGCTACATTTTTAAAAAATGGGGGTCAGGGAGAAAAGGACATAGCCTGGCAGTCGAGTTACTTCCATATCTCTGAAAAACACACTTCCATTTGTTTCTAGTCTTTTCGTGATACCTTGGATAATGGACTGAGTTGTTTCACATTCTTTCTTGTTTGTTTTCCAAGATGGTTTCTCTGTGGAGCCTTGGCTAGCCTGGAACTCACTCTGTAGACCAAACTGTCCTTGAACTCACAGAGACCCACCTGGCTCTGCCTCCCAAGTGCTGGGATTAGAGGTGTGCACTCATTCTTATTTATAGTCTGCATCATGAAGTATTGCTAAATCCTGACTTAATTACAGAAATCAAGTCCTGGAGATGGGACTCAGTTGGTAGAGTGCTTGGCTAGCAAGTGTGAAGTTCAGGCTTGCGTCCTCAGAACCAGAACCACATAAGCTAGGCACAGTGCTGCACACCTATGATCCCAGCTCTTGAAACGTAGAGGCAGGAGGATAAGAAATTCAAGGTTATCTTTAGCTCTATAGCAAGTTGGAAGGCAGCTTAGAATTCATGAGACTGTATCTTTAAAATAGAAGAATAAAAAAATCTACATTTGCCCTGTAGTATCAGTATTTCTTGAAAGGAAACACCATGATGCTTGTGAAACATTTAGTATTAAAAATATAAAACAAATTATTCACAAGTTGATATTTGAAAAATCTATATTATAAAAGTATGCATTTTGTTGTTGGCGGCTATTCCCCATCCCCAGATTTGTTTTTGAGATAGGGTCTCATTTTCTAGCCTAGCCTAGCCTCGAGTTCTCCATCCTCATGCCTCCACCTTGAGTGTACAGGGACGGCAGGTGGTGACGTCACCCTGGCTTGTGCATTGTACCTGGTCTTGTTATTACTGGTGACTATAGTAGCAGTGATCATCAGTGTTTATTCCTGCCTTCTCCATCTACTCTTTGGGGTTTGTAGTGATGTAGTGCTACTTGGAACGATGTGACGGAAGAGACTCGAATGAGCATTTACCTGTCAAAGGGACTTTGCACAGAGTGGGGGGTGGGAGCACTAGTACCCCCTTCAACCCGTGTCATGGGTAATAAGTTAGACCAGAATGGCCAATCCAAACTATAATATACAGGTGCGGGAGTTCCAGATTTACAGCTCTGAGCTCAGTAAAATTTCAGCAAGTTAAGGAGATTGGCCTTGAAGTGCCACCCATTAACTCTGCCCAAGAGAAGACGTAAGGAAGAAGCGCTGGGCGGGAGAGATGAGCAGTGACTAATAGTGCTGACTGCAAGCAAGCATGAGGACCCGAATTTAGATTCCAGCCCCTAGGCAAATAGCTGGAGCAGGGACAGGAGGATTGCTAGGACTTGCTGACCCCAGCCTAGCTTCAGGTTCAGTGAGAGATCTGTCTCCGAGGAATGAGGTAGAGAGTGGTAGAGCAGGACACCCTTCTCTGGGCACCACATGCAGGCCCTACTGGCACACATCCTTCCTAGTGATGACAGGTGGTGTATACGTGTATATAGTGCATTTTAGTAATATTTGTCCTCATTACACCCCTTGTCTCCTTCCCACCTCTTCCTCTTTTCAACTAATTCCTAATAAATGAAGGTATCACTAAAACCTGATAGGAAGCACAAAAGTATCAGTGAATCATCCACAGGAAGTAACAAAGAGGGACTGGAGAGATGGCTCAGAAGTTAAGAGCACTGGCTGCTCTTCCAGAGGTCCTGAGTTCAATTCCCAGCAACCACATGGTGGCTCACAACCATCTGTAATGAGATCTGGTGCCCTCTTCTGCCCTGTGGGCATACATGGAGGCAGAATGTTGTATACATAGTAAATAAATCTTTTTTTTTTTTTTAAAGAAGTAACAAAGATACCTTTAGACAGTTCCACATGGGTGTACTAAATTAATTTTCATATTGCCAGGGATAAGTGAAGATGGACTAGTTGAATCCTATGCACTGATTCTGTGGGCAGTCCCAGACTCCTGCAGGATGGATGTAGAGTACAGGGATACGCAGGCGACCTTTTGGCCCCAGTCCCACTGTCTGGGCCAAGGTCTTTGCCTGAGCAGAGACAGTGCTGGTAACCTCTGGGAGGGAGCCTGCTATGAAAGCCAGCCCAATGCCAAGACTTCACTGGTAATTGTTCCAAAGCCACACAATCACTCTGAGAGTTAACTCCAGTGGAACAGACCAGCCAGGCCTTTGTAGACCCTTCGTAGCAGGGTCTGACCACAGTGAAGCTCAGTGCCCTTTCACACAGAAAAACTTCTGTGATATGACAGAGCACTGTTTTGACCAATTTGCTGAGGCTGGTCTGAGACCACAACAACCAACTAGTTCTGAAAACCAAAAATAGCCTACAATCTAATTCAAGACCCATAGAGAGTGACCATCCTGAGTCACCCAACTCACTTGCTTACATCTGTTATTTTTGGAAAACTTTAGTGGGATTGAAAGTGCTTAGTTGCTGGTCCTTCCCTCCAAACAAGAGCACAAAGTCAGGAGCTAGGTCATGTGGCTTTGTCTGGCTTACCACAAAGACTGCCGCTGGTGTGATGTGGTTCCGTGGCTCTGGGAAGCCCGCTGCCAGCTGGGGTGGGCTGGTGAGATTCGAACTGACTGAGCTGCTGAAAGGGTCTCGCCCTCACAACCTTTCCCACGAAGCTTGGCTCCCTGAGAAGCAAGTTAACCTGCCCACAGGTTCTAGTAGATAAGAATTTCCGTGGGGTGGATGAAAAAGGAGCCTATTTCCCTCAGTTAGGCTTTATGTCTACTTAAGATGTTGAACTAATTTTACAAGGGTTTATAATTTTCTTCTACAATTTTATTTATTTTGACAATTTAAATGTATGCAATGCATTTAATATCCCCCCCCCCCCATTACTTTCTCTTGCCTCCCTCCCCTCCCGCTTCATTCCAACTAGTACAGCCTGACTGGGAAGTATTTACGAGTGCATAGAAAACCTAGCTACTTGCCAGGAGCTCCACTGCTTAAGAAAACGTCTCCCTCTCCCTCAGCAAGCAGTAGTTCTCAGGGCTCAGAGGGTGGGGAGGCCTGTAAACTCTCTCCTATCCGTGATGCAGTGTTGACGGGCCCAGTACAGCGCAAGCGACTGCAGATACTCTGAGCTAGTGACGGGAAGACAGCTACCATCACATTCCTCCCCTCTGAGCCCTCTCACGTTCTCTCAGAGGGAATTCTTCTGTGGTGGTCTCTGAGTTTCGGAGTCAGTGATGTTGCTCTCCTGGAGGGCTAAGCAACCACTTATTTCTCGGTGCTTTAACTGGATATGAGTCTTTGGAGTAACTGCTGCCCACTCCAAAAAAAAAAGCGCTTTGACCACAGCTGAAAGCAATACTAATCTATGGGCATAAACATAAGTATTTGGAAGATGTTCTGATGGGCCCAATATATCCAC